GGGCGGGTTTCCTAATCGCAAGTTGCAAGTATGGGATTTTGAGCTTGACCTATAGTCATATACATCAGTCAACTGGTTTCTCTGCCTGTTGTTTGAGTCCAGTAGATTGCATCATTATATCTTGTTCCTGCATTCGCCTATGCCTCATCTCTGTGGCAGATTGCGCTACTGACAGCCAGTGACGTATTATCTTTAATGTCCGAAGTTTAAAACGAACTTCTTTTTTCTTCATAGTTAAGTATTATCTTCATATTGCTGAGTTATTGGCTACTGGCAGAATAAACTCATTGCTGCCTCGGATCTTATGTCAGATACCAAAATACCCCGCTCCGAGCGGATCCGACACCATTCATGATCAATCCACGTTTTATTCACGAACAGACTTCATTTCATTTCATTTCATTTGGTCGGCGCGAACGGAAGTTTTCGGTCTTTGACTTTCCTATGAGACGAACTCTACTCAAAATGCAGGCAATCATTCAGAAGCAGATGGAAAATGCCATCGCGCTAAGGAAACCAGGCTCCTCACTTTCGTGGCGACCCGACGAGCCTTGGAAACAGGCTCTGTACAGATGGAGCAGCAACGCGAATGAATGGCAGCCACTTCAAGCATCCGAGCCGTCACCAAACAGAGCAAAAGCCACAAAGCTAGCTATTTACAGTTGGAACATCGATTTCATGCTCCCTCATGGCGACAGCCGAATGAACTCAGCGCTGAAGCACCTTGAAGAGCTGAGTCGCCAGCATCGGTCTGACGACAAGACAGCGGTTGTCATCAACATTCAAGAATGCGTACCATCTGATTTGGATCTGATTGGCGAAAAGAATTGGATTCGGGATGGCTTCTACCGGACAGATGTTGATACTGCCAACTGGGCTTCGGGCGCTTATGGTACAACGACGCTAGTCGATCGCCGACTTGATGTCCTGTCTTGCTTTCGAGTGCATTACTCAGCGACTCAGATGGAGCGTGACGCCCTATTCGTTGACGTAGAGGCATCTGGTCAGAAGCTTCGACTTTGCAACACCCACCTCGAATCACTTGCACTGGAACCTCCACGCCGCCCAGCCCAAATGCAGCTCATCGCTTCACACATGCAGGCCGACGACATCTCCGGTGCTGTCGTCACCGGCGACTTCAACGCCATTCAACCATTCGATAGAACTCTACACACAGACAACAAGCTTGAAGACGCATACCTCAAACTCGGCGGCACAGAAGGTAACGGCAGGGACGATAACGAAGGGTATACATGGGGACAGCAGGCTCTACCACAACTGCGACAGCAATTTGGCTGCTCACGCATGGATAAGGTGTTTTTCTGTGGTAATGCACTTGATCTGTTAGAGTTCGAGAGGTTTGGGGCTGATGTTGAGCCGGAGGAGTCGGAGAAGGATGCTCGGAAGGATCTGCTGTCGCTTGGCTTTGAGAAGCCGTGGATCACTGACCATCTTGGAGTCAAGGCAATTTTTGAGATCAGACATTGAACGAACACTGTATTTAACATGTCTGTGCCAGCACAGTTAGACATCTACGAACAATGAAACCAATTTCCCAATCACGATCAAAAAAGGAGAGATGATGTGGATAGTGTTTTATGTTCGTAAGCGCATCATGGTGGAGTTACTCAATTGACTGATAGCTAAAGCTTATGACATCTTATCAGTGGGTAGGGGAGTGAAGAAAATCCAGGATCTTGATCCCAATTGACAAAGCTACTGAGGTAACTTAGCATAAACTCAGGATACTTGTTGCCAAGCTTAGGATGCTTTTTACCGGTTTTATTTTAACTTCCTACCTTATACAAAGCTCTGGAATTTTCTTGCTCCCTGAGGAGAGGGTTGCATCTCTCAGGCACAGTCGTTGTAGTGGTGGCACTCTCCACTGGCGATCTTACAGAGCTAGCTTGGCCAGGTTTAGCGGAATGCCCTTGTTGTCAGCACTTGTCACCGATTAGTTCAAGCACTGCAGCTGGTTCGCATTTCGTTGATGCGAACCAGCCAGTCAGAATGAGTTTATACCGACATTTTACCCTGTCGTATTCGTAGGTTGCTGATCTCCTGGAGCTATAAAGTCTGAGGTCGCTCGGTCGCTCAAGTTCCCTTTTTATTAGGAGACCTCGATATTGACTCTCAATCGCCATGGGAAGTCCAGTATTGGAGTTGGTATCGCGGCCAGCCATTGCTGCGCCGCTCGTTCTTTTGACATCGTACATCATATATCAGCTTTTCCTGAAGCCCTCCAACTTGCCTGACCTACCAATCATCGGCGCACGCAAAGGCGACTGGTTTCCCATTTTACAAGCCAAGATTCGCAATTCGCTCAACGTCAAGGCCGCGCTCAACTCGGCGTACATCCAGTATAGAAACCAGGCTGCCATTTTCCCCTTGATCGACGGTGGAAACATCATTTATCTTCCACGATCAGATACAAAGTTCGCCAGTGAACAGCCTACCAATATGCTCAGCATGCATGAATCGGCACAGCAAGATTTACAGACGGACTACACTACCATGGACCCGTCCCTCACGCATGACCCCATTCACCTAGAACTGGTCACTACCACTCTTACTAAAGAGGTTGGAAATCTCATCCCAGATCTTGCTGAAGAGATCGATCATTCTGTCAGCAAGCAGTTGGGCAACAGTACAGACTGGTCCGAAATCTGTATAATGGAATCGGCGCAGAAGATGCTCAGTGGGATCACCAACCGAGCATTCCTTGGTCTTCCACTTTGTCGGAATGACGAGATGCTGAAGCTGGGCATCGCGTTCGCCCAGGACATTCCACTGTCGTCAATGATGATGAAGCTATTTCCGAGCTTCGTTAAGCCGCTAGTTGCTCCTCTTATAACCCGATCCAACAGGATTCACACGCGCGAGTTCGAGAAAATCCTTGAGCCGGAGATCAAGGCCCGCCTAGAAGAATACGACTCGCAAGACGAACACGTCAAGTCCGATCGGAACGACTACTTGCAGTGGTTGATTGAGCAGGCCAAGGAGATTGGTAACCCAAAGAACTGGCAGGTCAGCGCGCTGGCTCAACGTGTTCTGCTACTAAATTTCGCTTCCATTCATACTACGACTTTTGCAGTTACCCATGCGCTGCTTGACATTGCTTCATCGTCTCCCGATCTTATTCTTGAACTTCGCGACGAGGTAGAGAATGTACTGAAACAACACGATGGCAAGTGGAACAAACGCGCTGTCGTTCAGCTCGAAAAGGTCGACTCGGCAATTCGCGAAAGCCAGCGCAAGAACTCCATCGTCTCAATCGGGGTTTCTCGCACCGTCGTAGCAGAAAAAGGCGTGACTTTTCCATCGGGTACGCACGTCTCCAAAGGTCTGAGGATAGCTGTCCCAGGATATTCGGTGCTGCAGGACAGCGAGATCTACCCTGAACCTAAGAGTTATAAACCACTTCGCTTCTACGATGCGAGACAAAATGAGGCAGATGAATACGTGAAGAGTGCGCGCAATGCGTTGCCCACCGCGACGCAGGATTTCTTGGCGTGGGGACTCGGTCGGAACGCGTGCCCAGGCAGGTTTTTTGCGAGTAACGAGATCAAGATGTTGCTCGCTCACATTTTGCTGAACTACGACATTGAGCACTTGACTGAGCGACCGCGAAATACTTGGATCGCACAGAATAGGATCCCTCCTATGAAAGCGACGCTGAGGATTAGGAGGAGAACTCGATCTTAAGTTGCCACCCATAATGTAGCTAAGTACTGTAGATGAAGAATGCGAAGACCAGAGGAGGAGGATTCGCTTGTTGGGAACGATAAAATCCACGTGACATCGTGTTGTTTTCCTGACACGTCCGGCTATGAAGCCCTTCCCCATCCTGCCGACGCGTTTTATGGTGATTTGATCATTCACTCCTATAGTTAGTATTCCAGGAGGAAAGAAAACTCAGAAGCTTGACCCTAAGCGACAGCATTATTTAGGTGAGTCTAGCCTAAGCTTAGGGAGCTGTTCACTAAGTTTATTTTGGCATCCTCTTTTCAAGTCCTGAGTTTTCATGCTCCCTGAGGTGACTCTCAAGTTATTCTCCCAACATGGATTCAAACTCCAGCGATACCTCATACCTCTGGCAAAGGCCCCCCAGTGGCATCTGGGAGAGACACATCGACGAGTGCGAAAGCTTTTACTGGCTTTACACTAAAAAAGGCCACGGCTGTTACCCCATCACTGCCTGCGCGTCCTTCCAACTCAAGATCTCTTCCAACAATGGTCACGGCGACGATATCGAATCTCTAAAGAATGCTTGGGTCTTTCTTCGACATAAGCACCCGACATTGGGGTCCCGTATCGAACATGATGACGAGACCGGCAGGTCTAAAAGGATCTTCAAGGCCTTTGAGAATAATGAGGATGTTGATGCTTGGCTGAGCTCGACCTTTCATATCATAACCATCGATAAAAGCGCACTCGAGTGGTTCAATAATGATGCTCCCATCTTCACTGTTCCAGCCGTCTACATCGTCCTGTCCAAAGGAGATGCGAGCCACTAAACCCTGTTTCTGCGGTGCCCTCGCGATATCACCGACGGCGTTGGTATTTTGCAGCTTCTTGATCAGCTGTTTACTCAGGGTAATCGATTTTATACACAGTCAGAAAAGTATCCCTACCCGTTGCCTGACGATGACCTCGATACAAGATTGTCGCCGTGTCTTCGTGTCGCGGCTTCAATTCCCGATCCCTTATCCGAGGCGCAAGTCCAGCGTTTCCATGCAATCTCCCCCAAGAATGGGGAAATGTACAATCATCCAGGTCTGATGGGCTTGCCTCCAACTTCTTCCCCAGGGATTAAACCCGATTTCAAGGCCAAGCGCATCGCTGTATCGGTCCCCAAGGGGGTATTGGCACAGATACTGGCCGGCTGCAAGAAGTTTGGCTCTGGAGTTAGTTTGACTCATGTATTCGTCTCGGCTCTGGCAATAGCCCTCGCTGGGTTCCAGCCTCTCAAGCAGGAAGCATATACTGTTCGTTATGTTCTAATGCCTTATATAAGTTCTGAGGGGTGAAGGCAATAGCTCGAACAGACACAGCTCGGGTTGGACAGCAGAGAGGTCATAAAAGTGCCCATCTTGACGTTCTGTGCGGTGTTGGGCTGGCCTGAATTGGCCAAGAGACTCGATGGGGAATGTCCAAAATCCTATTGCAGTTTCAACTGCTCCCTGGAGCTGCCCATTGGCCTCCTCAAGATGCATCCGGACCGGTTCTTGCCAAGACTCTTCCCATGTTTGAGCACATGTTTTCCGTCTTTTGCTTTCATACTTCAAATGGGCAACAACGTCAGACTCATAGGCGATTGGCGGTTTGCTTTGAATAGTAGTGTAAGCAATTCTGTAGACACATGGCGCTGTCACTCCCAATTCCTCCACCAGTTTCATCCAATTTCTATACTGCCGTCCGAGATCGGAGTTGTGGGGAGTTTTGAAATAGATATTCTTAAATACTTCGCGCCCAATGAGTCGTGGATCCTGCTGGCGTGAGAAATTGCCGGTAGTCCCTGCGAGAGGAAGCGAACAGCGATAATGCAAAAGGCATTGGTGTTCAGTGGGACATTTGTGGGATACTTTGTCCACATCAACGTAGTGTATAAATGTGACGCTTCGAAGCCGAGCCACGACTTGGCGCATCTCTTCTTCTGAACGAGCGTAATCAGGAAAGTGACGAGACCTGAAGGAGAAAAAGAAGTAGCACGGTAAGAAGGCTACGTGGCATAAGCCTACTTTACGCGGGTCATGATCCCAAACGTCACTCGCAAAGTTTGCGAGCAGGGGCCATCCATCAATCTCCACGGTATCTAGCTCAGGATTAAGGAAGAACTTCCCTGGTATGAGGACTTGATCTTCACTGGGAGTTGCGTAAGTGTATGGCGGTGCTTGGCTCGAGGCTATTTTTTGCGGATTGTGCTCGGCGTTCTGCTCACTTATCTCAAGCGAATCCATGGTCGAGGGAGACTTCGTGACGTAGAGACAAGGAAGAACAACACGATAAAACCCTTGGGCGCTCGCACGAGACTCGACGCTCGTACTGAATAAGGCGCTGAGCTTTGGTGCTTGGTGCAAAATAGGTCGGCATGGCTGTATGAATTGCTGGATCCCACCAGTCATTCCACCGAGACATATCTTACCCGTGGATCGGTCGACGGTGCATAGCTGAACTTTAATGTATCGCTCACACGTCAGGCTTTGCTCCCAAATGATCTCTCTAAGCTCCGTAGGAAGTTTAGGGAACAAATGAAATATCGCATTCGAATTTGGGAACTTCGGGTTCAGGATGGTCGGGAGTTCGCCAGATGGCTTGACCTGGGGGGGCTGGTTTGAATCTTCCATGGCGATGTCAAGTGTTGCTAACGGAGAGAATTCAAAGTTGGAACTTATTGGGCGCATTGCTATTTTTATACCAGCGAGGGCCAAAAGTTACTTTTGCGATTCCCTGTCTAGCTTTTCAGTCAGAGTTTGCGAATCTGGGCCGACAAATAATTACGGCTTGACTACGGCCTATAAGGGTAACCTTTAGGCTGCAAACACAGGTAACAAATGAGAACACGGTATTCTTTTCCCTCAGTATAAGCTTTTACCCAGAAGCTTTCACGATGACCAATAGAGCCGACAAATAACAGAGTGACATTTTGCCATGAATAGAGCTGAGATAGAATGCTTGAAGTTAAAATATATATACGGTATTGCAGCTCACTTGATATTCGCCGGGCCTAGTTTATGCATGTGTCAGTCTGTTGCTCGATGTTAGTTTGTATGCGGATACTCCTGAGAGGACGATGACGTCTAGCATATCTCAAGCGCCATCAGAAAAAAAGGGCCAATCCTGTTAGTACTAGAGGCAAATACTTGACCAATAAGCATCTCTACAGTAATACAGTTTAAAATGTCACATCTCATTCTTGTTCTTGACTAGTCAGCCCAAGCCACGCATAAGCTAATAATCCTCCTGCCATGTTGAGCTATACCAGGCGCGCTGATCACCTACTGATTGGTCGCTGACACGACTCCACTAACCTCATTCTCAAAGCGATCGCATTCTCTCGACCGAGTATACGATCGCTTTCAGGCGACATGTGATATCACTTACTCGGCAATATGCTGTTGCCAGATGGGGAAGAAGAGGGGAAGTTGTAGATGTCATGTATAAAAGGCGATGCTTGACTGCATATTGATCAGTCTACAGAGAAGTTACATCCCTAGAAAGGCCATACAACCATGAAGACATATTCAATCTCAGTACTATTTATTCTTGCAATCTTCTTAGCTCTCTCAGAAGCCAGCTTCGATGGTAACATCAACTATGGTAGTCCCTCGCCTCGGCATACGCAGTTCGGCATCGATGTCGATCAAGTCCAACGCCGCTCCTGGAAGCGTGGAAACGTCGCATTCAAGCCTGAAGAACTAAACTTTACTCACGGTGTTGCATCAGGCGATCCATGGCCGAATAGCGTTATACTATGGACTCGAATTGCCCCAACTAACGTCTCTTCCGCTGACACCGCGCCGATTGATGGAACTGAGCCACTTTACAGCCACGAGACCAAGAAGTTCATAGAGGCTGATCCCAATCCTATCTGCCTGTCCTGGAAAGTCTTTCCAGTTGGCAAGGAGGACTCAAAGTCAGTTGTTAGCAGTGGGAAGGCTTATACTACCGCCGATATCGACTACACAGTCAAGGCATGTTCCGACGCAAAGGCCAAGCACTGGAACTAACCGATACCAGGTCGAAGCCAAAGGACTGAAACCATTGACGACATACAACTACCAGTTCACCGTCTGCAACTCGAAGAATTCCAGCCCTCTCGGAAGAACCAAGACTGCACCTCGGCCTGACGACGACGTATCGGAGATCAACCTGGCGGTCTTCTCATGCAGCGCATACTGTAAGAACTGAGACACTCGTTTACAAACTAAACCTGACCAGTCGAAGTTCCAGGATTTTTCAATGTCTACGGAAACGCTGCCCGAAAGGATAATCACGACTGGGTTGTCCATCTCGGCGATTACATCTACGAATACGGCACCTATACACTGTTCAAAGAGCGCGGCTCAATTCCGCAACATCCAACCTACTCGCTATATGACTACCGTGCACGCCACGGACAGGTCTGTTACTAGATACCCGTCAATCTTCAAGGCAGGCTCTAACGAGATATAGCACCGGACTGATCCTGACTTGCAACTGTTAGCCCAAAATTCAGCTTGGATTACAACTTGGGATGACCATGGTAAGATTTCCCCACGGCGTAAAAGAACTTCTGTCACTAATCTGGACTAGAACTCGCCGATAATGCTTACAGAGATGGATATGTCGACTTCTTCGACCAGCCCAACACCTTCAAGGGAGAAGGTCCGAAGGTAGCCACGGATGCTCGCAAAGCTAATGCTGTTCGCGCGTACTTCGAGTGGATGCCAATCAGGCAGACTGACATGGACGATGGCCTCCGTGTATGGAGATCATTTCAGTTGGGTAAGCTTATGGACCTTGTAATGCTGGACACAAGATTGTATGACCGAAGTAAAGGAGTCGACTGTAAGTACTTCCTCAGCTGCCGAAAGTTCTTCTTTCTAACTTCGAGCAGACGTCAACGAGAAGTATATCGAGAAAATTAGCGACAATCCAAGTAGAACTCTGATGGGAGGCCGACAAGAGAATTGGTTCTACCGTTCCTTGTCCGAATCCAAGGACAGGAACGCAACCTGGCGAGTGATCGGCAACCAGATCGTGTTCTCTCACATCAAAGGGGATGCAGCTGGGGGAGGAGATACATGGGATGTATGATTGCCATATCTTTCTCCGATCAAAGAGTCTGACTGCTAACTTCCAGTAGGGCTATATCGCGAACCGAAACAGAACACTCAATCATCTATATAAAAACAAGATTGACAACAACATCTTCCTGTCAGGTGATAGTCATATGAATTGGGTACACAATCACGCCAGTCGTCTCTTCGTAACGCAGCTGACTCTTGTAAGGTATCTGACTTGGCGTGGCTGGGCGCCAAGAAGTACAACCCCAAGACTGGAGAGGGTGCCATCGGGGCTGAGTTCGCAGGTTCCGCTGTCAGCTCTTGGGGTACATCTGGTCTCAAGTCTATTGAGCCTGATGCGGGAAAACTGGCTCGCAAAGCTATCGCCGAGAACAAGGAGCTGTTCTGGCAGGAGGGTTATTACCGTGGCTATTTTCACTTGTCAGTCTCTCCAAAGAATGTCTCAGCTCAGTTCTTTGGTAAGTCAAGCAACTATAATGAATGGTCGACATCAAGCTAATAGGAAGACAGGCTCACCATCCATTGCTACTCATAATGCTTGGGAGATCCCTTTAGCTAATTTTACAGTTCATGCTGGAGACAATCACATCCATCGGCCGAAGGATGGCGTCCAAGCTGAGTCTGGAGCCCTCAAAGCTGGGGAAATAAAGCACACAAACTTGACGTTCAATACTGAGACTGGGGTCTGGAAAGTTAAAGGCTTTGACAAGATGTACCTCAACCCAGAGCCTAGCATCCTCGGCTCATCCTGAGCAACGTGTTAATAGGCCTGAGAGAGTGGAAGGTAGCCTTGAGGTTTAGTAAAAGATATATTGCAGATAATCTAAAGGCTGGCCCTATATAATACGTTTTTCCTGTGTTGAAATTGTGTAGGCAACTGGTGTGCCGCCTAAACTAGGCTTGTAAGAGTGTTGTTTTGAGTTGATAGACCTCAGAGCTGATGCTCACATCACACGCCTTCCTCGTCCCTTGTTGAAAGGTAGATGAAGCATCGTAAGACGGACTCCAAATGTACATAGGAATAATAAAGAATCACCTTAACCCTTGTACTCCGTCACTTCAATCTCATCCTACCGCACATGGTCAGCAAACTTATAATAGCATTCAAAAGTTATTACTTACCTCAAACTCTCCAGGGATGATCAGACCGATGATAGCTCGTGTCTCCATGGATTTATGTTCCTTGACATATTGTTTGTACTCGGGTGCACCAGGACGAAGGACATTATCTGCCACAATATGGCTCCCCTTCCTGAGCAATCCGAGTGATTCGGCGACCTGGAGATCTGCGACGTACAAGTCTTCAACATGATCCAGAAAGAGCATATCCACACTGCTTAGCTTTCCTTCTTCCTTCAGTCGAGTAAGGGATTCAGCAGCCTTCCCCGTGATCACTTTTACGACGTCGGATAATCCTGCTAGATCGACAAGGTTCATTGTAATACCTGCAAAAACCGGATCGGCTTCGAGGCTCCAGTAGACGACGTTGTTCTTAGCGTCTTGGTTGTCTTTGTGTGCGTTTCTCAACGAATGTCCTAAGTATAGTGCTGAGTATCCAACGTAACCACCCAGCTCAACAAAGACACTGGGCTTTGTCTCAACAATAAGAGCAGCGATCTTTTCTGCTTTGTCTGGGCCAATGTTGATTAAGAAATCTCGCTGAGCGGCAAATTCATCCATGGCTTCGCAGATAGCCAGGGGATTGTTGCGCATGTTCGGGAAGTTTGGATGGTCATAAAGCCAGCGCAGAAGTACAGCTTCGCGACCATCATTCCACTTCAGAAGCCAGTAAGTCAGTGATTAAGCGACGATTTTAGATGTTGGACATACTTCAACGTATGCGTCTCCAAGCTCTTCCAGCTTTCGCATTGATGGATACTTTCCATATAGCTTCCTGCGTTCTTCCATGGTGATTCGATGGTAGTCAGTACAAGATAATGAAGAGACAGAAACCGGAAGGACAGGTAAGCAAAGAAGATGCCCCTTTTATTGTTTATCCATGCTTACACGGCTCGGACGGCAAGGGCAAGATGTGTGACATACCCTTGTTGATAATAAGCAAGGCCAAAGGCGGGGTTTGTCACAACATGTGGCACACCAAGTGTACCGAACATTTACTATCAAAATAGAAACTATTAGTAAAATCAATATTAGGTTGAAGATTCCAAAAGCCGATAACGATAATCGGTTGACATTTATCTGTACAATTCATCCTCCATGCTCCATTCTGTGCGGTAAATTCCATTCCTACTAGTAGACGCCGTTATGCACCGTACGCTGAGTCATTGGAACTTGGGCTTCAATCAGCCTGTTGGAAAGCCGCTGTAACTACTGATCTCTGCAATACTCATCAAGGAAGGAGCCTGACCCAAGTTCCACTAGGCTTGGCGTTAGGTCAAGGCGTGGGGGGCTCGACATCCACTGAGCGATTCCCCATATCTCATCGTGTGATACTCTCGCTTGGAACAATGGGTCGTGGATGGGATGATATACTACTACCCGGGCTGTCCTCTCTACTCAGTACTCTAGGACCTCTTTGTGACTCTTTGTGACTCTTTGTGACTCTTTGTGACTCTTTGTCCCTTGACGTGGCACTCAATTCCGCAAGTGGATAAATACCAGTCGCCTTGAGCTCATTCAACTCTTGCATGAGTTTCTTGAATTCGACCATTGTCTCAGGAGGAAGCCTCGGGTTTCTGGATTCAAAATTCGACGCATAACTTAGAATGGCATTGCGATATTGAATTCCATTTCTGACGACAGATCGCGAAAGATTCCCCTCGAATGGAATGACGTGAACACGGCAAAAAGCGAAAAGGTCCACTTCTTCGCCGTCAGTCCTCCCAACGGGAGTTCTATCAAATAGCATACCAGAGCTTTGCAATCGCGGAAGCGCCTGTGAGTCTCTGGATCTCGATCTTCACTGTCCATCCCACGAGTCCCAGTGTACAGGTTCAGGAGGGGGACCAGAACCGTCAAACTACTAGAATCAGACGAGATGCCCCATCTAGAGTAATTGACCATAGGAGACATTTCAAGCCAAGAGTGGCTATCAACTACAATGTGAAATTGTGACGGACTACCAAGGGCGAGTTGATACCCACCATTAGACACAAATGTTGTTAAGTCAAATACATGGTCGCATCTGGGACAAAAGAACTTTGCGGACTGGTTGCAAAGACGTTCCACCAAGATAAACATATCGAATGAGACACCGGGAACCGCAGAAGTTGACCAATTCTGTTGAGTAATAGGCATATTTATTTGTGGGTGCATGACCACAAACCGTTTTTGCTCAACAGGGAACCTGCCAGGCTTGTCGGAGAACATCACGACGAGCAGTCGGCACAGGCCCTGAGCGTGTCAGTCAAAGTGCTCCCTCAAAGCGATGCCAAATCATACCTCCCAGGTATCACGCATTTGATAGGGAAGGGCCATTGTGATACTAAAGGGGTTCTCGAATTCTAGGACCTGAATACTTATGACAGACATACTCATTGCTGACTCCAGCCTTCTCACGATGTTGTGTAATGGAAGCAGAATGTGAGCGTTACTCCAGACGAGACCAATGGTACCATTGCAATATGTCACGGCAGTTTTGATCCATCGCTCCAGGTGCTCAGTAAGGGTGAACAATCGGACACTTGACTTTTCAGCGTTTTGTTCCATCAAGCTTAGAGTGCCTTCTTGCTTTACCCGTGTCGAGCTCGTAGCAACCATGAGTCTTACGAGTCTCTTAGGCCTAGCCTTATGTTCGAGAAGGTAGGTCTTGATGTCACGAGAAGTGGTCTCCGTAGTTGTGATCAGTACCCGGAAATGATTGGCGAAAGGATCATTCGTGGTATCTTCTTGGGTCGGGCTCTCTCTACGTGGCTTCAAATGAAAGGAAATAGTTGCGGACGGATGGGTAACTTACTGATTCTGTATTGTTGACAGGGCATTCATCGCCAAGATCTCACTTGTTGGTATCGCGCGAAGTTCGTCCACTTCATGGCGAGCGAGAGCCGAGCAAGCTGCATCTAGCCTCTTTTATTTTCGTCTAGCAAAATCTGTGTGTCGAAATTGTTATCGTAACCCCTCATTTGGTTTTTCTCCCCCGAAGTCCTGAAAGGACCCGAGGCGTTGCAACGCAAATGCCCGGACTCTCTCGAGCCTGGCTTGCTCATCGACACGCCTCGGTATGAGACAAAATGCCTGATGGCAAACTTTCCATAGAGGCTCTAGCTCGATAGCTAGCCGCTGGGAGTGATGCGGCGCATGTCTATCACACTTCACCTTAACGACGATGGGTTCGATCAGGCCGACGATGGCGATCAAGTCGCCGATACTACCTCCGTCAGTGATTGTGCTGCTAAGGGATGAAGGCAATCATGGGATTATGGATGGTACCAATACCCAAATGATATTGCACCAAGGCTGATAAGGATTGAACCCCCCAAAAGGGACTGGCTTATCAGAGAGGCCTACAGACGGCGACAATTGGAGGCCGTTTCAGCGGCTGCACATAAGCTCGTTTCTTACAAGCAAGAAGAATGAACTTCGCGAGACCTGAGAGAAGAATACCATGACCTGATTGAGGGTGCGTTCTTAGCCAATAATAAGACAACACGGAGTGAGGCTTACTGAGGAGCCCAGTGCCTGGACGCCTTTGCAAGTTATCCGCGCTTTGGTGGCGGGGTTTCGCCAGGTGACTTCTGCCTCGGTAGGGGGCCTAATGTTAGCACGAATGTGGCTTTTCAACCCTGTAAATGGACCTATAGGAGGCTAGTGGCGAAGTCGTGGGCGCTTATGAGCTGACCATGCAGAGACGTTACAGAGCCTCGTCAACAAACTCCGAATCTCGTCACTTTGACAATGGCCATTGTAGTCCTCTTGAAATTGCGACCTGAAGCGCCCAGATAATTGAACTTGGACTCCATAATCATTGTGCTGCCAAAATGGTGCGGACAGAGACTCTTCTCAGCGAGTACATCAATTTTAGTGACCAGAATGCTGGCTTGAGCGATGCAGAACTCACCAACAAAGAGCTCATGTTCTACGGCGCTGCCGCAGTCAGCCATCTCTGCAATGAACAAGAACAAGGAATCAATATTGATGAGAACCTTCGTCAAAGTGATCGATTCCGATTCATCCGAGAATTGGATATTATCTCGTCAATCTACTCAATCGCCCCGATAAGCAAGAAAGCGGGGATCAAGTCAACGCCGCCCGTCATTGCTTGGTCCGATCGCCTTCAGACGGTCTTTCTCGGCTTCTGTTGCACCCGCAGCATGAACGATGTCCGTTCTGATTTGGACGTGCGCTTGGCAGCGTCTGATGATATTGGATCGCGATTCCATAAGGGCTTCTGTGACAGAAGTGAGGAGTTTGTGCCGCTCGTTGAATGGCTTATGAAGAGGCACAAGTTGGTTGTTTGCGGCCATAGCTTTGGGTGCGTTTATCCTACTGCTTCGATCAAGTCATGCTGACCTCGAATTTTAGAGGCGCTCTGGCGACTATCTCGTCTTACCTGGCCATGGTCGGCCACGATCCCGTTCCTAACGCCTGGAAGCAGAGACAGGGCGGCATATCCATCATCACATTTGGAGCACCGTCATGTATGGTCGCTGAACCATTAGGAACAACAGTCTCATTTCAAATGAACCTGAGTGGCAATTTCCACCACGTTGTCAATCCTCATGACTACGTTCCCTTCGCACTCAACGATAGCGCGAGGAAATTCAAGCAGACCTTTGATGCTCTCAGAACACCGCTGGGAAACCTATCGCCCACAATCCAAATGTTATGGCCTATTCTTGAGTATCTCTTAGACCTCTTGCTGCAGCACACGGGCAAATTCTGCCACTTTGGCTGCATGTATTCCATCACGGCCGAGGAATCAGGGATCCAGAATTGTGTCCAAACTCTACGAGGCAATGATATTCCTCAGATCCCGAGCGCAGGCCAGGTTGACCGATACCACAAGATGTCACACTACTTCCATTGTCTCAAGAACTCTGTTGGTGCCAGACTTTCGCAGCAGGTCTTATTAGAACTGCATCATTCGGTCTCCGATGTCTCATCAATGATACTTCCGATGCCTGGAACAGTTACCAGTTGCTCCTGTGTGGTTCACAGCGATCACTTGGTTGTATCACTTGATGTCGATACGCCTGTGATGCAATATTTGTTGAAAGGAGCAACCTTTAGGAGCAATACCCGAGAATTTCCTCTTACGATTCTTGGGTTTCCTGCCAAGTCTGACCACTACAAGGTAAGTAGTGACTTCTGTGAGCTGTTCGACCTTTCAGCTGACCTATTCGCCTAGACATCCGTTAAACTTGAATATCGAATCAAGGGCGATGACCCCTTTGAGGACATCGGAAAGGCTTCGATCGCTATCCAGGAAGGCATCACCCTTCATGATATCTTTGGGCGATCCACAGACATCGATGTTGACACCCTAAGATCGATGAGCCTTGACAGAGCTAGTTTGCCAGCGACATTTGAGAGTATCAGATTAGCAATGATACGTGCGCTTGTTGCCCAAATGTCAAAAGTCCAAGCCCTCAGAACTGATAACACCTCCCGCGATGCTCATCCTCCAGAAGAGGTCATGAGGCTTGTCGACGACATCAAACCGGTTGTGGGATGCATCGATGGTCTGGTCAGCGATGCAAGTCCCCATCTTGTCTTTAGTCGCCTTGGGCATGCATTTACCATCCTGAAAGCGCTTTGGCCGAAAGACTTTGAGATTGGATCCGATTTCCATGCTTCCATGCCTGGAGCGTATGGAGATGGAGACTCCGACGTTAGCCTTCTTCTTGATATACCTGCCGCTTGCCCTGGAGCCCTTAGAAGGCTTATTACAGATATGGTCATCAGCCAAAACGCCCCAAGCATTACCCGAGCTGAACTACTGGTCCAAAACTGGGAAGCCGCCAAGAGACCGACATTAACAAGGCAATTCAAGAATGTGCCAACATTCTTTGGAGCTCTCAAGACATTCAGCCATGATCTATACCATCGCTCAACAGACCCTGCAAGGCGCACCGAGCAAGCAGTCTCGCAGTTCCAAGACGTCATGGGTGTCATCCAGTTCTGTCATTTTGTCATCATTACGCAACTTGACGCACCGTATGAATGGTACTGCAAGTCCACTGAGGGCCATCGAATCACCTCTGCTGCTCTGGGTGCCTTGCCGTCCTATTTTTCTGGGGCCTCATTGTTTTCCAGAGTCCTAGCTCTGGGAGTAGGAGCGACTTCCGCTGCTGGACTAGGTGTCAGTGGCGGTATTGCTGTGTTGTTTGCTAGCACCAAGTTCATCGGTCATCTTCTCAACAGGCACAAAACGTATCTCGATCTATCTTTTCCTGGTGTCCTAGCCATCGCCTTGCTGGCACTTGGCCTGCCCATCGCCGAGTCCGATGATATAGTGGAGAAGACCCTCCTTGATCGCGTGAAGCAGGACATTGCAAGCTCTCATACGCAGGAAACGATAGACAAATGGAGAGGCAGACTCGAAGAGGGCTTGAAAGACTATCCTGGGGCCAAGGCCAATCAGTGGTGTATTACACCTACATTCTTCTGGCCCAAGTGGCTCTTCAGTGTTGCCAAAGTAGCTCAACTCCGAATTCAGCTCTCGGACAAAATCTGCATCGGAGTGCAGGGCTCCACAGAAGCTGGTAAGAGCCAGATGCTCACTGTTCTGACCGGGGCATCAGAGGACTACTTCAAGCCTGGCTCGAGCAGTCTTTGCAGAACTTTGGGCATTCAATCTTACGACTCCAGTAATCTTGGAGCCATTTTTCTTGATAGCCCCGGTTTTGACGATCAGAAGCCAGAGATTAAGTACATGGCCGACGTATTCCAAGAGCTGTTTGCCATCGTGATCATTGTGATCCCAATGGAACGTACACGATCTGAGGCAACTGAAAGCGCCTTGCACATAGCTATTAAGCTGCTCCGTGACCAAGAAGACAAGCGCCCACTACGGATTCTACTAAGCCAGGCCGATGGGTTGGATCACCATCGCAATAACAAGCAGAAGTTTAGGGACACATTAGGTGATGTTAAGGAGCAGTTCATGTCCAGATTCAGGCAAGAGCTAGGCGAGAACTTTACTACCTTCAGACAGCAGCCGTTTCACGATGGAATCGTCTGCAAATCTGAGAAGCTGGAGGATATCGTCAAGCCGTTTTCGACGCATGCACAGATGACTTTAGATGGCATTAGTGCGTTGGCAGATTGTCCCCCCGGAACGCCATGTAAGATCGAAAGGGAGAGCCACTTCGAGAATTTGTGCGAGTTGGCTGATGCGGGAGAGATATGGGACATTGAGTCGCTGCGCTCCTGGCTTCGGGATCTTTCACCCAACAGCGTGCCGATGTCGAGTGGCCGCGTGCGGGTATACTGTGATTAGTTGTTGCATTGCGATGTTTTCTCATCTGAGGATCTCTGATGGCTTCTTTATATACACGACTCATTTTCTTTGCATCATCTTTATTCCGCCTGAACCTACTTCCAGGGGCCCCTGTTATGTGTTGGTTGCAACATCACATCCTGTATACATATCCACCTTCCATATTGGCTGAATACAAGAGGCGAACTTGGCTGACATCACATCATCTGATGGGCCCCGCGGTGTTGACTCCTAAATGCCGCAGCCAGAACCAGATCATATATTATGGTACTTAGACTTTTCATCCTTGGTCATTAATGTTGATCGTCATGTCGGATACACAAGCCCGTGACAAAACAATTGATGAGCCTATACCGGCCACAGACGTTGCATCCCAGGACGAAGCTCCGACAGGGCTTCTTCCCGGTCAGTATTGGATGCAGACCGTAGGTCTCCAACATATAACACTTCGCACGTCATGGCATTGATATTCTGGTGGTTTAGGAACCAGATCAGGACGATGACGACAACGATTCAACACTATCTGACAATGCCAGCTCAACAG